CTTCCTTTCCTTTTTTGAGATTAAAGTAAGGTGCTTTATTATGACACAATATGTTTGATGAACTAAAACAATGAGATTGTCCGATATTTGACCCCTTCCTGCTTATATTTAAACTATACTGAACATGAAAATAAATTTTACTGTTATGCTTCACAGGAATTTAAGCACGCTGCAAAAAATTCCGGATCAAATTAAGTTATCAAGTTTAGAGGTTTCGGCCAAAGAGAATTTCATGATAAAATATTTTTTAACAAAATATTTTTTAATTAATCTGAAATTTAACGAAAAACTTTCGTGTTATAATTCATAAAATTTTTAATGAATTTAAGGATTCACTAAAGGAACTTCAAAGCAGCATACGAAAGTTGATAATTTCTGAAAAGCCGAAAAAGAACAATAATAATTAAGTTGTTGCCTATGCTGTTAAAAAATTTGCTTGATTCCGATCAGCTTATAATTTAATTATAAGCTGATTAGAAAAATAATATAAACATAATATAAAAATGATTATATGATGAAAGTGTTATATTCTCTTCTTAAACTCGTAAATTCAAAAGGAACAGTTGTATTTGAAAATTCTTAGAAGTCGCTGATTAATTTTAAACGTTCCTTAAGAATAGCTTAAAATGAATAAAATATGAGATTAATCAAAATGAAAGTTAATAGTTTTTTTAAGATTTAAGTCTTTTTACATAATCTCCTTCAATTAAAGATATAATTTCCTAAGATTTTAATCACTCAAAATATTCATTATTTTAAATAATGACAAGTTAGAGATTTAATAGTTCTAATTCTAACATAGCTTTTTCAGAATTCTAACTCATTCACGCACGTTCAGAATGCCAATCTACCGTATAATTGGATTTTAAACGAGATCCTCCTGCATTAGAATAAATTCTTAGATCAAACAATAAAACAATAACGAAAAATAAACTTAGAAATATCTGAACCAAAGGAAATATCATCATTATTTGTTAAGCTCTTGCATTGTGCTTGTGTTTGAACTGTTGTATTTGAAAACTCTTAGAAATCACTGATTAATGTTAAACTTTCCTTTAGAGTTGCTTTAAGTGAATAAAATATGTGATAAATCAAAATTAAAGTTTATGGTTTTTAAAGATTTAAGTTTTTTCTTTGTACAGAATCTTCTTAATTAGAGACGGAATTTTCTAAGATTTTAATCACTCAAATTATTCAGTATTCTAAATAATGACAGGTTAGAGATTTAATAGTTCTAATTCTACCATAGCTTTTTCAAAATTCTAACTCATTCTCGCACGGTTGGAATGCCAATTTATCGCATAATTGGATTTTAAACGAGACTCTGATTCATTAGACTAAATTCGTAAACCAGAAAAAATAATAAATGAAAATAAACTTACGAATAATATGTGCCCAAAAGAAATCTCATCATTATTTGTTACGCTCTTGTATCGTGCTTGTGTTTCACAATTATAAAAACATCTTCTCACATTACGTATGTTGATGCAACTCTTAATCGAAGTTCTTACAAGATGGTTCGTGGTTACAGATTCTATCGGGATCCACGAACCTGTGGGTCACGAATTGCGAAGGTTTGCAGGTCTAAGATGTCACTTTCTTCTTGACGACCTGCTTCTCTTCTTCTTTGATCTTCTATTGTTTCTCACTTAGGACTTGGAACCAGCATAACTCATTTGATATCGCTCAAACTCTATGATATTAATTTTTTAACGAAACAGTTATTTCCATTGCACTTATTTAGTTTTATAAATATAAATTTATTTACTACCTGCTTATTGTCAATGTATTTAGTTAACTACACTGTAAGACACTTCTAGGAAAAAAATTTTAATTAACAATTTATTTAAATGTTGTTTTACGATAGTGAAATGAAAAAGTCAAATAACTAAATAAGTTGGCAACCAAACTGTTAACTGTGAGAAAAGCTGATTATTAACTACTTTCATCTCATACGGTTAAACAACCTGAATTTTAATTTATCAACTAGGCCCACCTAATGTTGTCACTTAGTTCATTGCAACTGCATACATATTATAGCCGAGAGGGCTAATCTGTCAGTCATATAGCCGACGGAACTGGGGTTCAACTCCCAGCGTTGAAGCCACAATATTTTCTCCATTCCCTTCGCATGATAAATTTCCAGTGTTCTGTACTCCCTGATTTGTGCCCTGCACTCTCCAATGTCCATTACCTAATGAAAAGCCTAGCTCTTATGTTCTGTTCAATTCCTTTCTTACGGTTTTGAAACCATGCTAGCTGATAATGGTTAAAAAATCGTTTAATTTTGTATTCATGGTCTTATAACCATGCCAGTTGTAAACGGTTTCATAACGATAAAGGTAAAAAATTTTCTTCACCGTAAACTTTACGGTTAATCGGATGGACAGACAACTGCTTATTATTTTACTATCATTGCTTATTATTTTACATTTTAAAATGAAAATTTTAACAGTGTACAGTGTGTCCGTTAAGTCATGGTGCACTATTGATCAGTCACTGAAAAAAAGTGCTCTAGAACTTTACGGACGTACCGAGTGTGTCTCGTGTGTCTATGCGTCACTTTTTTATTTTAAGTATTTATAAGTATTGATATTTTTTATTCGTTTCATTTTCTGTCTTTCGTAAATTTGAGATTGCATTTTCTATCTCTTAAGAGATTTCCTATCACATCAGGCATCAGTACAGCTACTGACTCATGTCATCAGTACGGCTACTGATTATGTCGAGAACTATTTATAATGCTGTAGTGGGAAAAAATTCATTGATGTTTAAATTAAGTGGGTATTAGCTACCACTTAAGATTTTAAAGAAAATCTCTATGATTATTAATTTTAAATACAAGCTTTAAATAACATTTTTTATGATACACTGTTGTGTGTTGTTTTTTGATATAATCTAAAAATGAACTAATTATTTTGATATTTTTGAAAAAGAAGGAAAGAAATAGAAAGTAGTCTTGCCAAAGTTTGTGCTATTTTAAAAAGGTTTGAGCATTCATGACGCTTAAAATAAATTTATTAGGTATCAACTATTAAACACTAAGTAATTAACTTAATTGGAACAATTTTTATAACTTATTTACTTGTCTAACAACACTACTTTTATAACTGCATTAAATCCGATCATATTTTACCGAAAAATACTTTGACTGAATTTCCTTGCAAGGTACCTGTACTGAATCCCCTATTTAATTTCATTGCATTTATCAATAGATTCGATAAATGCAATGCAAAGCCACAATTAAAGTTAATCGATTAGGTTTCAATTACTTAAGTGGAATTACTAACTCAAGAAATTAGACCGTTCATCCCTCTAACTCATTTACTTAATAAACGATACTACTTCAGAACTTTATTACGTCTGATTATGTTTCGAAGAAAAATGTCTGAACTAAAATTTCTCTATTGAGTCTGCAAAAATAAAGATTTAAAAACTACATGTCTAGACAAGAACGAAAGAATAACTACAAACAGTTGCTTCCACATTTGTTTTTCTTACAAAGGGAATTAAGTACCCAACCGAATTCCAAGAAAACCATTTAAAAAATCTGCAGGATTCATTTGTCAAAGCTCTTTTGCCGAATTTCTATTTTTTTTTTTTTTTTTTTCTTTTTTTTTTTNTTTTTTTTTTTTTTTTTACTCCTGTTTTACTTTTTAATGGACTAGAGCATTATTTCCCTACTATCCTAGTACGATCCTATTCCTCTTCGATCTAGCCTGTCGTTAGAAGGTAAGATAAATCATTAAGTTTAGAATCATAGATCCATATTTTTGTCATATCGAAGTTGAAAAATTGCAAGAAGCTTTTCTTTCTATTCGGGAGTTTTAATGGACATTGTTTGAAAGAACAAGAGAAGCTCGAGAAAAAAAAAATCCTCGAGCCATGAGTTCAGTAAATTTCACTCTATTCACAAAACCATCTTGGTTCTCTGTAAAATAGATAAGTTACTTTAAAATGTATGATGATTATCATACATCAGTAAAAAATAAATTATGATTGTTGGTTAGCATTGAACCGTTTGTTTCTATGGTTCAAAGAGCGGTTCTATTTTTAAAACAGGGGGAGAAAATATGGTTGCACAAGTATTTTAAGGTTTTATTTTATTTTAGGTTTTATTTTACAGAAAGGAAGGTTTTATTTTACAGAATCAAAATAGTTCCTTAAGCCATAATAAAATAAATTTGGTTTGGATGTGAAAAGAAGAAAAATAAAAAATGCTTTTTGAAAATAATGTGAAAGATAGCATAAACATAACCTTCAACATTTGAAGCTTACACAAGTTTACTTCATACAGAAGTTTACTTCATACAGTAATTCTTTACAGTGTATCCACTTTGCTTTAGGAATTTCAAGTGAGGAATTAATATTAATAAATGGTAAATATTAATTATTAGAAAAATGTATTCCTTAAAATACATTACATTACTTTTTCATAGCACACACCATCAACAATAATAAGCCCTGACAGGTTTTTTCGTGGTTTAAACATATCTTATAAGTCACTACACACTATTACATATAAGTATTCTTACTAATATAATAACACGTGTTTTGAATTCGCAATTCAATAACTGTTTCGGAACAAACAAATAAATTAACTAACTAAACCTTCATATTTGACAAACTCATAAATGTAAGGTAATAAATATTTGATTTCAAAAGTACTATTCTGTTTCAATAGTATCTATCTCACTCATATCATAGATTACAGAAAATGAAGCCATCAAAAATAAATAAGAAGATAAATCTAGCTTCGTGCCTCTCAAATCAATCTCTTAACCATTTAAAATATTTCATGGTTATCTAATTGCTCTAAAAGTGTTGGAATGCATCAACTCGTGAGTCATGAACGCTCTTAGCGAAATATGGGTAAAAAAAAAGCATGTTGCCAAAATAAGAATAAAAAGAATTAGAAAAAAAAAGGAATAGCAAGTATATTTGCTTTATGAACTGTGTACTGCCTCATTTTAATGCAAAGACTTTTTTTCTCATTCTAGACGGTGTTAAAAGGAGAAATGAGAGAGGAAAAATTCAAAAAATCTCTCACATTGTAGTTGTGGAGGAAGTATGGAAGCAAGCATTCAGATGAAAGGAGGTATAGTAGATTCTGACGAGAGAAAAATGCCTTATAATTAAAGCCCCTGCATCTTGTTACCGAACTCATCAATCATTTAACATAGCGCGTAGCAGAACTCTCATTCCTCTCTTCATTTTATTCCGATTAATAAAAGACAGACTAATATAAGTTCTATCTGTGCCTTGCTCACTCCTAACAAATTAAATTTTAACAAACAGAGATCGCTTTAAAGTAATTCTTTTCTTTGAAGCCATTCCTTTCATAAAAAAAAATAAAAGGTAAAAAAGAGATTGTTAAAAAATTGATATAAAACTAGGATCAAACTCTTTTTCCTCACAATCATTAATTGATTTTGGTTATTGAGATACAGATAGACAAATAAATGTAAAATTTTAATTAGAATTTACTTTGATCAAATCATTTCAATTTTTTAAAGCCAAAAAAAAAAAAACAAAAATTTGATCTCCTTATTGCGATTACTGGTTCCCCATTCATCAAATGCTATTTTTTTTCTCCCTCTTAATTGACTCCGATAAACACCACGACATTTCAAATCACAAATTATGGATTGCAAAAACTGTCTCAAGATATATCTGTCCTCTTGTCGTCGGATCCTGCCAATATATGTGTTTCAAGACGATACAAAATACTTTTCCTTCTCCAGTATTCATATTTATGTTAAAACCACAGTCAAGACAGTAATTATAAGTTAATAATCAGAAAAATATAAAAATATTTTAAATTATTACTACGTAAATACATTAAAAATGCCTGCTGGCGAAAATAAAAATAAAAAACTTAGGAAAAAAATCAACTAAAGAAGTTCCAAAATTATCGCCTGCTCTTTAATAAGTTAATAATAAAAAGAACATACAAAATTAAAAGTGAAAAAAAAGAATTCTAAACAAATTATCAAACAGCCGCGGTCGCCATAGCAACGCATGCAATGACTGCGCTTGAGCACTGTTTACTATTACTCTTGAACACAGTTGGAAAGTGTTATGATGTCCAAATAAGGTGGGCACGCCATCAAACACCGAAAGCAACACTCATTTTACCAATGGGTAGAAAAAAAAGGCTATGTTTTTAAGTATATCTGTCTGAAATAATAATTTGAAAATAAAATCGATAAAAGTTTTATAAAAAGAAACTGGTCTCAAACTCTTAGCTCGGAGTCTTCAACAAAAGCAGATAGACTTACAAATTTAAAAAGTCTATTTGTACTTTTTTAAGACTTAAAAAACTGAATTTCTGCAAGTCGTTAAACATGTTAATTTGGAGTAATAAATAAAAATATTTTTAAGCTACACTGTAAAATATTCCTACCAAACTGTCAAACTACCAAACTACCAAAAATGATACAATTTCCCCGTAAAATATAATACCATAATGTTTACAGTAATATTTATTTAATTAGAGTAATTTTATAATGCAAAAATTACGGTAAAATGTACAGACATGCTGGAGGTCTGTACTTTTTCACCTTTAATAATATAAAACGCGAAAATTCACAATTTCACAATTCTTAAGAAAGATTTCTTCCAAAATTCCAACTTTTTACGCTTTTCGCGGAAAATTTTTTAATGGTAGTTAAACTTTGGGTTTTAATGTATGATTCTCAGTCTTGTAAATTTGATTTGAAGTTATTTTCTTATGTAAATGATTCAAAAGTACATATGTCATTACTCTGTTCCAGCTGTCTTGTGGTAAGGCTCTTAAAATGTTGGAAAAATGCCTGATGTTTTTAAAAATTTAGTTTTTTATTGTCTACTATCGTATAAAATATTCTGCAAAAGTTTAGCTGTTGACAGCCCTCTCTAAGTTTCATAAATCTTACATCAAATGATTTGTATTAACTTTCTCTCATTCTTTTAATTTTACCTTAAAACCTCTAGATAAATTTTTCCCATGTATGCGTTCTATCATTTCCAGAATTTTTTTTTACATAACATCCATTTTTACCAGAACATGTTACGGAACAAAAAAATTAATACACAGCAAAAATATTTTTATTTTCCCCCAGAAATTAACTCTCCACAATCTAGAGGTGACTCTCGTTCTCTCATTTACTACCGCCATCTATATGCCATCCTATATCTATCACTCTTTATATGTTAAAAGTTTTGCATCTTAATACTTAGTCCGCTTTATTTAGCGTCCTCTACGTGTTATACGATAAAACATTAAGTGGTTGCAACCATTTTTTTTCCTTTTTTTTAACCATTCAAAAACCTTGGAGGGCAAAGGGTTAAACTAAACTGATCAGCTTCCTCAAATAAATAAATAAATTATAAAAGAATATTTGAAGCCACACGTTTTCAATTTTTAGAAAAAAGTATATATTTCTGTTTGAGAATCTCTGCGAGGATTTCTGTTTTCAGAATATTAACTTTGAAAAATAAACCAGTGAGTTTTCGAATATCCGAATAGAAATTTTACTGACATATTTTTAATTTTTTCTAGTCTCTCATCTGCTTAGTTAAACTCAGCCTCGTACGATAGACATGCACATTTATGTCCATATTTAATTTAATCATTTGTGGTGGAGGTTTAAGTTATCCTAATTTCAATTTATAACTCTAAAAATTAAATATAAAGGCATAATTTTTAATAACATTTTCTATCTCTTTAAATATCTTTCTGAAAATTCGAAAGAATTAGCAGCTTCAATAAATATATTTAAAATTTTCCCTTATCCGAGTTTAATTTCGTTAAATATGCATTATACTTAAGTATTGCTTTCTTTTTACAAATTCTTACATAACAGATTGATTTAATCTATTTTTTTTTTTTTAAGAGTACATTGAGTTTATAGTGCAAAATCTGTACTATTAATCGTTTGCCTAATAGACTGTCTGTTCTGAATTCAATATTTCACAAGGAATTGTTACTTTGATTATGACACTTTAATAATAGGTCAAAGAACCATTTAAGTTGACAGATATTATGATTGAGTAATGGTCATTTTAAGAATCTTCATTTTTTTATTCATTGCGAACTTTTGGTCCTATCATTACTTTTATCATTATGAAATGATTTTTACAATTTTATCGTTCTTCATAATTACTATACATTCTAATTGCGAAAGTTACAAGTAGAAATATTTGTTAGAGTTCATTAATAAAAGTTTTGCTGTGACGGCATATGATAATTAACTGCATACCGTAACGTATATAAGTGGAGGGTTAACGCAAACACAACACATTTTGAATATAATGAACAGAGCAACAGGATTAAGATTTTTAGTCTAATGATTTTCCAATAATTTATTTTTAGGTCGTTAGCAAATAAAATACATCAATTTTATGCAAAAACGCATGCATAGCTAATACTGTGTTGTTTTTATCGTATCCTTGAAAAATTAGCAATTCTTATTTATCATTATAAAAATTAACGTTTAGTTTCTATCTTAATCTCAACTTTTCTTATGTATTTTAGCGCTTCAATGCTGCTTGAACGGAAAGGTAAATTTAAATTTTGTTTCATATTTTTATTGTATTTTGTTTTTACTGTTCAAGTTTAGTAATTTAAAATTGAAAAATTTTTTTAAATCAAATTTTATAAACTATTAACGATATATTTCTTTTTTTTATGTCATATTATATGTTATTTATTGCTTTACTATGTTAAATTATATTTATTGTTTTTTATGTTTTTAATATCCGTTGCATTTTATTGTTAATTTGAAGAATATGTTAATAATGTAAAGACTTTTATTAATCTTTGACAGATGATTAGAAAATAACATTTAATCACTTATATGGAAAATTTATATTTTATTTATAAATTAATAAACAGATTAAATTTTGCACTATAATATTGACCCTGTGAAAAAAAAGTATAATCAAAGTTACCGGAAAATGGTAACATTTTCCCTGTTTCTGTCTCTATGGGAGCAACAAAAATCTCGGCAATTTTTACCGAGCGCTTGGGTAATAATTTTGCTAAAACTAACAATAAAATATGGTTTTATAATATGCACTAAACTTTGGTAAATGTGGTAAACGTTGGTAAGTTTATCATAATACCTTACAGCATGGTATGAAAACCATCTATTTGCTTAAATTTACTTTTCTGTTCTTATTTTTAATAAATGCGTGGTATGTTTGATTTTTTGAAAACCAGAATTTCCAGAAAACTGTTAACCCTATGAACTGAAAATTTACCAAATTAACTGTTTAATACCGTATATTTGATTCTATTAACCAGAATTACGTTTTTTTTACCTGATATGCCCGTACTGGAAATGTCCTTTGTTTTATAAATGTTCCCTGTCAGATAATACTAAATAATATTCCCCAATAGTCTTGAAGTTTTAGTTTATTTTAATGATACATGATTAGATTTAATTTTACATAATTGAATAAAGAGTATTTTTTCAATATTTTCTCTCTCTCTCTCTCTCTCTATATATATATATATATATATATATATATATATATATATATATATATATATATATATATATATATATATATATATATATATATATATATATATATATATATATATATATATATATATATATATATATATATATATATATATATATATATATATATATATATATATATATATATATATATATATATATATATATATATATATATATATATATATATATATATATATATATATATATATATATATATATATATATATATATATATATATATATATATATATATATATATATATATATATATATATATATATATATATATATATATATATATATATATATATATATATATATATATATATATATATATATATATATATATATATATATATATATATATATATATATATATATATATATATATATATATATATATATATATATATATATATATATATATATATATATATATATATATATATATATATATATATATATATATATATATATATATATATATATATATATATATATATATATATATATATATATATANTAGAAATCATAAATTTTGATATCAATTTAAAAATGAATAAGAAAAAAAAAATTTTTTGCCAAATGCATAAAATAATGCGTATGTAAATAATAATAAACATACTTATATATTCTGTCCATTACTTATAAAATAAATTTATGTAATAATAATTATATACTTAATTTTGGTGCTTTGGTTTTTAACTGTGGGTAAAACAAACTTTAAAAAATACGATTAAAAAAAAAACTGTTTTTCATAGTGAAAACTTGTCTCAAGCTTTAAAAGACAAGACAGAAGCATAAAATTTGCTTCCACAAAAGCAAACAAAAAACGATTAGCTAAGTATTAAATTATGCTAAGTATTAAAATTTATTGAAAATGTGTGAACTTGTTTGAAATATATGCTTATTTGAAGACCTGTTTAACTGAATTGTGTAAGGAAAGCTGATTAGGCTTTATTCATAATTACTACATTAATTTTAAAACGAGTGATATTTTTTTGATCAATAATTTAAACATTATATCTTCATAACATTAGAATTGCTTAAAACAATTTTTTTAGAATACTTATTGAATTCCAATGTCTCTCCATTTCATATTTCTAATTTTAACTTTTTTCGCAACTAAAGTAAAACTTTCGCATCTTTCTTAAAACTGTTACGGGCGTTTAATTAAAACTATTTTTAAGTTACTGCATTTTTAATTTTATATTAAAATTTGGTTTTTAAAAAATGATCTGAAATTATTTATAATCTTAAAATTCAAACTATCAATTCATGAATGTCTACAATTTCAATGTTTGCAATTTTTAAATAATTATCTATTTTTAAATAGCTTTCTATTTTTATCTTATTAAAATAATTTTGCTACCTGTTTTTATTTTATTTCAAAGATAATAGTGCGTATCAAGGAAAAAAATTAACACATAATAAAAAACTATATATTTTGAATATTTTGCAAACATAATTTTTTTTAGATTTTTACTTTATTTTAAACAATTAATGCTTATTCAATCTTGAAAATGCAATTTAAGTTTCTTTTAAATTTCGTTCACGTTAAGTTCAGTTTAAGTTTCGAAAGTAGCAGTTCGAAAGTTTAAATTTAAATTTTTAATTGAAAAAAAAATATTTCAATTAAAAACTTAATCTTGATATGTATCTTAATTACTAAATTATCTATTTTTACAATATTATAATAATTTGTTTTGATGGCGAACTTTTACTTTATTTTATTCCAAAGAAAAAAATTTTTTAAATAAAGTGAATAAAAAGATAATAAATATAACTACTTTAATAATTTATAAACTATTATTTCTTAAGTTCATGCTCTATTTTAGTGGATAAAAAAATTCTAAATTTCTGAATTTCTAATTTGCAATCCGAAAAATTTTATTTTAAACACAACTCAATCTTTATCTTATTTCAATTACAAAACGAATGCAAAAACTAATACATATATAAAAATAATTACAGTATTCTTTACTTTTTATTAAAAAATTTTCCTGCATTTTTATTAAATGGAAATTATATTAAATTTTAAAAAAGGCATACTGCAGTAACAGATATTAAAATACTAAATATTTAAATAGTAGTTATAAATGAAGCCATGTATGCAAGCCATGTATGTATCTGATGACGTTATAATTTTAATAAAATAATAAAATTACAAAGCCAAAATTTCTTTATTGTTTCAATGTCCAAGCAAAGTAAAACAATTATGATTGTAATAAAATAAAAAATTTAAAACAAAAATAAATATTTTAATTTTTAAATCTTCTAATATGACCAAATTCATATCATCCTAAATAAAATAAATAAAATTTATCAATTTCGTAACAGAAAATCAGAATTGTTTTTATTGTTAGCTTTCACATTGTAATTAATAATTTGTATCATCATATCTAAATATATTTGCTAGAATTAATTTATTAAGGGCACGTTTCAATTTCAAAAAAGATTTGGACTGGTAATTTCTATCTTGTAATTTATATTGGTGATATGAGACAATTGTATTCAGTATATTTTTTTATTATATTAATAAACATATAGTGACATTTTTTATTAATATAAATACCTTTTCTGACAATTTTTAATAATTTTAACAACTATATATTATAATACTTATATTATAATAATATATCATAATATAACTGTACTTTATTATAATAATTTAAAATTAAAGAGTAGTAGCTAATACTAGTAAACATCTAATTTGTTTAAGCGCAAAATTCCTACCATTTATTACGTTTCAAGTTTGGTAATATATAATTGAAAAATTATTGTAAAGTTAAATCTTATAAGCTATTAATAATATATTTCCTTGTTAACATAATTTTATTCTTTACATATTGTTTTTCAATGTAATATTATTTTTATTGTTTTTTATGTTTTTTTAACATGCATTACATTTTTTTTTTAATTCTAAGAACATATTAACAATGTAAAAATGTATATTAATCTCTGACTATTGATTGGAAAGTAACATTTTATATTTTATGTCGAAAATTTATGTTTTATTTTTGAGTTAATAAACAGATTAAATTTTGCACTATAATATTTATCCTCGGAAAAAAAGTATAGTAAAAATTACTAGAAAATGGTAATAATTACCCTATTTCTGGCTCTATGTGAACTCATAAATTTGGTAATTTTTAACGAAGATCTTTGGTAATGATTTTGTTAAACTTAATCATAAAATATGGTTTTATAGTATGCAATAAAATTTGGTAAATGTGGTAAAATTTGGTAATTTTATCATGATGCCATACAGCATGGCATAGAAACAATCTATTTTGTCAAATTTACTTTTCAGTTTTGAATTTTTTGCTAAATATATTGTAATAAGAACTATAAGCTTTAAAACCAAACTATTACCATCTAAATGAAAAAATTACCAAATGAATGGTTTAAATACACTTTATTTTTGTTTTATTAACCAGAATTATGGACTTTTTTTTATCAGAAATGTCATTACTATACAGTACAGTAGTTTTAATAAATTTAATTTCTTACGCGTATAATTTCAAACTCGTTATCTAAAAAATATTGTATTAATTTTTATTTAATAAAAAATAATTCATTAGTATTGGTAATTTAATCATGATACCTAGGAGTATGGCATTAAGATCAATTATTCAGTTAAATTTATTTTTCAGTTTTGTGTTGTTTTTTTCTGCCTAAATTTGTGGTAATAAGAACGGTAATTTTGAAAGCCAGAATTACCGGTAAATCTTACCATGCCAAGGAAAAATTGCCAAATGAAGGGTTTAAATACCGTATATTTTGGTTTTTATTACCTGAAATAGGGGTTTTCTTCACCAGAAATGTCATTACCAGTACGGTAATATAACCTGATTTTTTTTTCGCGTACATCTTCATAATTTCACCCTTACATTCCTAATATATTTCATAAATATTTTTATTTAAATTTATTATGAGTATTTCAGAAAAGTGTGAGGGAAAAAAACTGAGCTGTGGCTTGAGTCATCTGGTTAAAGTGAGCTACCAAGAAATGAGAGAAAGAAGAAAGAGTAATATGGAAATGATGAATCCAATTATCTCCCTTACTTGATCAGCGTGACTCTAGTCTATTTGTGTCACGTGATTATCTAAATAATTGACTGGCTGATTAGAATAGAGATAACAAAGTGAATAAAACTAATTTGTATATACTGCTTCGCTCATGCAGTTTTTCCGATGCGGAATTTCAATCATAGGTTGGCATATTAAGTGATTTTTTTTTCCTTCTAATTTTTTGAACTTACGTGAAAATTTTTGAACGAAAAGAACTGTAATTTTACTCAGCACAAATGTTTAATAAAATCTGTAGTTTACTTTTAATTTTCTTGTTTTTTTTTATTCTTCGTTACTTATATATTTATTTATTATTGTTATTATAATTATTTAATTTTCATGTCACTTGTTAACAAAACAGCTAAGGTTAAGTTGTGAATAAAATGTTTTATCTGTAACCCTGTTGTCTTATTTATTGATTGAGCGTTATGTGTTTCTTTGGGAAAATAATTATTGTTCATGCTCCATTAATACGATTAATATACGTTTGTTAATTTAGTGATGCTCTTTTCCAGTTTTTGAATTTTAAAGAAAAACAGTTGAGTACATTTTATTAAGAATTAGTATATATACTCTAAAAAATAAATTGTTTAACAAATGGTACTGATGAGTTTTTAAAATATTCACTCCGCTTATTTATAGATTATTATTTTTGATTTAAAGATTATTATTTGTAGATTATTATTTTTGATTTTGTATCTTGATTACTAGAGTAATTACATTAAATTAAAATATAATGACTTCACTATAAATCTTAAACACATACTATGTATTTTTTTTTTTTGCCCTTTTTTTAAAAAAAAAAAACTTTCGTTGAAAAGCCAACCCAATTCTAAATTTACAACTATCAATATTCAACTGTGTTGAACTATAATTCTGTATCTAACCCAGAAAAAAAAAGGTAACTCTTAGATCATGCATTGTGACAATCTAGCCTTCATGCAGGACTTTTTGTTAAAACTAAACCGTCTTTGCGTTATATAGAGAAAAAACAACATAAACATCTCCCATAATTAGGCCGACCCCAAAGGGATTCTAATCCATGATCCATCTACCAATGAGGATATTTTACGTCAGCACTGTAGTTGGTGCGGGCTGGGAGGAGATTTCGTATCAAGCTACTACCGATTGGATTTGAACCTGGGTCACCTCGTTGAACGCTGTATCCCCTGAGCCACCGCGATATCTTATACTGTGTATTTACTAAAGCTAAAAAAATCAAAATTATTAATTTGTTGTACTTTTTTTAAATATCTGACTGATCTATTTATAATTAAGATAATTTAATGATGAAAATTGTTCTTCTCTTCTGCCTAAATTAAAGGAGATAAAAATTTGTCTTAATGCGTCACAAATTTCCATGAATCCAATTTCTGGTACTCAAAAGTTGTAAACTAATTTTTTAATCGTTTTATCTCAGATAGATTATTGAAATCGTAAAATAAATGCTTTAATTATTTCAAAAACACAATATAATATTTTTGAGCAAGTAAACAAGAATGAGTAAAACAAGAATGGAACTTAATTTTGCGTCTAGCAATAAAATAATTAGAAAGCATTATTTTAAATAAAAACATAACATGACATTGAGTCCATTTTATAATTAAAAATGCTTTTATTCAGTGATATTTGAGTGAAATCTTCTATGGAAGTGCTACTAGCATCGGCTGAAACACAGTCCTATCTAGTCCTTATGTCTCATTTTATTATAATGTAGCGTTACTTTCATTAAAATATAAATTTATTCTGAGATATTTGAGTAAAGTTTTCCACTGTGGGGATGCTATTAGCGTCGACTGAAGTATTGTCCTACTTATCTAGTTCTTATGTTGCATTTCAATGAAATAAATATTGCATTACTTCCAGCTGTATTTGTATAATTAAATACATCATATAATTTTTTGAGCACGTTTCAACAAATTGATGGTTTTTAGATAATTGTTATTGAAGAAAATAAAACATAAAGTGGCAATTTTCTGTAGCACATTGTGTGTGAAATTTGGAACATGTTCCAAAATTTCTAACAGAATAGGCAAAAAAATTTTAGTATCATAAAAATCATTCTTTTTTAAACTTCCCACTTATAACACATCTAATTTTCTTAAAATTTCGACAGAAATTTAGAAGATCTTGTTAATAAATGGGGAAATTTATGCATCACCCCCTGAATAATTACGAAAAGGCGAAAAATATGTAAAATTTATCTCAACATTTAACTATAATGATCAATTGTTGAATTTTAATTCTGTTCAAAATAAAGGAAAACATGGTTCAAATTTGCAAATTGAACGGAATTTTTTCCAGTTGAATGGTAGGATTCTGTTGAAAATTTCGCATACTATGTTTCCGTAATGCGTAATTGAACCATAGTAAAATCAAGTTTAATAAGTACTATAATCTTTTTCACCCCAGAACTAGATTTCAGAGAGATTGAAAGATATAGTTATTTACAACATTCCAAAATTTCTAACAGAATAGTAGAAATAATTTTAATATTTTAAAATTACAATTTTTTTCCACTTACCAATTATAACATATCAAACTTTTTTAAAGTTTAAACAAATAGTAAGACCTCGTTGATAAATAAGATAATTTATGCATCACCCCTTGATTAATTTATGCTTGCATGAAATGTAGAATTTAATTCAACATTTAACAATGATATTGATTTTTTGAACTATAGTTCTGTTCAAAATAAAGGAAAAATATGGTTTAAATTAGCAAATTGAATGGAATTTAGTTGAACGCTATGATTGACGCTATGATTTAGTTGAACGCAAAGTTTAACTCTATGATTGACCATACGCAACGCGGACGCTACAGTGACGCTACCTAGAACCATAGAGTGTGAAATCATGTTTAATAAGTACTTTAATGTATATCACCTAGGTTCAGCAACATTGAACGGTATAAGTGTTCAATATGTTCAAAAATTTCAAGCACAATAGTAGAAACAAATTTAATAATATCATAAAATCATTTTTTTTCTAATCTAATTAATCTAATTTTATGAAAATTTCAACCGAAATTACGAAGACCTTATTAATAAATGAGGTAATTTATGCATCACCCCTTGAGTAATTATACGTGCATAAAAATGCGAAGGATGTGGAGTAGAAGGGGTAGAAGGAATGATGAATGTTTGATAACGGCACTGGGAGTATGATGAACGAGATGGGTTAGACCGCAAATATATTATGGATATTTGAACAAAGCTCAACCTGTAAACGAAGAATTGCACCGCACACCTACAGATGAAAGTGGAATATTTCCGATATTAAAAGCACTTCGCTTTTGTGTTCCATCAAGAACGATACGGGATGTCGAGTTGCCATCAATCACTATTTCCCCATCAAATATTTACGAGCTCTGAAGAAAATCAATTAATTGCTCAAATCAAAATGCTGCTCTTCATATTTTTATATAAAAGTTATGAACTAAACTTGTTTCCCTCATTGATCCTTTGCGTCTTATCAGTCATTATATTCCTAAAACTAAACAAGGCAGGACATAAATTATTAATTATATAATTTGGTTAGCGAAAATATCTCGTTTTTACAAATTAGAACTAATAATAAAATGATTGAAGATCTTCGTGGATGAAAGTTCTGAGTGACATAATTAAAATAATTTAGATATTTTTGCGAAAGAATAGCACAAACTTTGCAGTTAATTTATCTATGTTCTAAAACGTCTTCAAATGCTTATTTTTATCTTTATTAAAAATATTAAAAAAAATTCTATTATCTTAAAAAAATGAAAACCTATGCTTTATTGTGAAATATTATACAAACCAGCTCAAGGTAGCTGAAAGTAATATTTCTTTATTCAATTTTCACAGTAAAAAATTCCAGATCAAATTACGGTAAAAAAGTCTGGTACTTAAAGTGCCAGTACTTTATATCACAAAATCCATTTTCACTGAACAATTTTTTGAAAAAAAATTCTAATATACCGTAATTTTTATAGTAATAATTACCGTGTGGTCCCCGAATCATTCTAATTAAATTAATTTTTAAAAAAATTACGGTAAAAATGAATTTCACGATAAAATAGATTTTTCAGATGATGCACTTTATACCATAGTTTGATCTAGAATTTTTCACAGCGTTCACTTCGTTAGTATTATCAGGGGACTTTCTGTCTGTGAAAACTCAAAGTAACTTCTTTTTTAATCAAGACCATTTTTTTTCTTCCAAAAAGCAAAATATTTAAGTCTACTTTTGGAAAACATTTAATCTAAAATAACAAGAAAATCCAACATTTATAAACTTGAAAAAAGTGATAACTTATTCAAGTGTTTCTAGAAGTTTCTTGTTACAGCTACAACAAAATGCACAGTTATAAATAGTAATATTTTGAGCTAAACCATTAGTGGTCATTATTTCCTTTTTCAATTATACAATAATAATTAGAAATGAAATAATATTACTACCAAATATTATTAAAAATTAATATCTCTTAGTGATATTTTCTTTTAAGCCCATACATAATAGAAACTATTTTTAATGGAAAATATAACATTCTAAAAATAAATCATTTTTTTAAGTGATGTATCATTTTTTTAAGTGAATATCTTGCAATTAAAAAAAATCCATCTTATCTTATTTTACTTATGTCCATCTCCAACTTATCTTAAATCCACATTTATCTTATTTCCATCTTATTTTACAATTTTATGTTTTTCAAAAAAAAATTCTAAATTAATTATTTTTTACAACAAAATCTTTAGTTATAAAAAATTTATTCAATTTGAAATATTAACCCATTTGTTCCTGGCATCAGTTTAAAAAAAGAGCTACTTTTTTCAAAAGAGAAAAAAGTGCAGAACAAGTAGTTCATTGCTAGGATTAATTTTGCAGAAACAACTCAATCTACCTAAATGTATTATTAGTATAAACGTTGATAACTAGATCTGAAGAAATGTACATTACGTTTTAAATGGTAACAGAAAGAAATATCCACTTGGAATAAACGAATATATACTACCACTTTTTTCAGACAGAAGTTTTTCATATATAGACTGCTTTTGTGTCTGGGCATTAATATGTTAAGCAAGTTTCCAAATATATATAGTTTTATTTATCACTTTGTAATCCGACTTAACCCTTTGCTCTCCAATGTGTCCATGGAGGCACCATCAACAGTCACGACTTTAAAATTAAGAAATTTTATACCTTATTAATTAGCAACCACATTATTTTAGGAGTTTTAAAATTGTACTATAA